GCACTTCTAGATCTGAAATTCTGGAAGTTAGTGAACTAATATGTTAATTAAGGAAAATTTTTTATTTTGCAACCTGGATTTGCTAGAAGGCAAAATTCCATACTAAAAATCTTGAGCTGAGTGTTCTTAAAAATTGCTGAATAAACCAGTAGCCGAGAATGCAAGCTATAGCGATAAAGAGACATCAGTCGAAAATTTAGAGGAGTGAAAATGTACTGAAATGAGGAGGTAACCAAGCTATACAAATTGATAGAGTTCTGCAATCATTTTACATCTTCGCGTTTGGAAATGAATAATGCAAAATTAATTTCTTTCAGAACTGAATTTTATACAGACTCTCAAAAACGTAAAGATCAACATACCGAGAACGAGAACGAGTTTTTGCGACTTTTCCACTTCCAGGTTGCACAATGCAATTGTAAGTTTTCCAAATTTTCTGGCAGAATTGGCGTCTGACGTCCCAATGAACAACGCGCCCGCAGATTTTAAGGCCTCAAATTTTCTTAATAAAACATCCTGTCTATGTCACAAGAGATGAATAAAGTTACCTTATAGAAGGAAAGGAAGGAAGACACTTGAATTACTCGGAAACATTCCAGGGCACCACATGAGGCTTTACTCATTGCTGGAGTTATCTTTGATGGCCTGGAAGAGTGTATTATTCAAATTTGGCAGATTTTTTTGTGGCAAAGCTCTTCCCTATAGTGTGGAATGGGGGCTTTTTCATTGTAATAAAAAGCAAAAGCAATAATTCTAAGTCTTCTCACAAAGAATGGTGGACTCAGATTTTGAAGTATCTTTGATGATAAAATCAAAGCAAAACAAGCTTACCCACGCCCCTCAGCGTAAACAATCTGCTCACAGCCAAAGAAAAGCGCACTTCTGGCGATTGCTCCAAAATTGCCAGGATCCAATACATTATCCAAGAAAATTGATGTAAACTGTGTATCAGATACATTATGAGCAAACCGCAGAGGAGAAGCATCTAGACAGATACCCTGAAAGACGAAAATTCAAGTCCTTTGACATTCACAATGATTATCTGTTAAACTTGCATTGTGCAGTTGGAAATCTGTAATCTTATCGAATTGAGAGTGCGTGAGACGCTTTACGGGCAAACCTAGCGTCCGTGCATGTTCGAGAATTTTCGCAATTCGCTCATCATGACCAGATCGGGAACTAGAAAGGTAATTGACAGCAAAGGAGTACAGCGTTACAATCACTTGTCTTAACGAGTTGGACCACAATTACATGAATTTCAATTTCACTGTATAAATTGTTCAATCAAGATTTTTCTTGATCAGTTACACAAGCAATTTGGTACTTCTTCACACTCTTCTCGCCTCCTTTCTTTTACACGCATTTCCGCCAGCAATCCTTGAGTTTCCATGAGTATCTCTTAGCTCGCATGCTCTTTTGTGATTGGCATCCATTTTCAAAAAATAAAGGGCTAATCAAATTATCAAAAGTCATGACAGCGACCAATTACTCATTGGTGCCAGTCGAACATTATATCAATATCTAATGATTTCCAAGAAAATTTGAACTAACCGTACGCTGTCCTTTACATATAGCCCAAAAAAATCTCTCGCTCCAGTAGCCAGAGCTTCCAGAACAGGATAAATGCCAAACACCGGCTCTCCGCGAAATTTAGGTACAGGGACGCTCAGGCTGAAGTGCTCCATATGCTTCCACCTATCATTTGGAAGAACTAACCTCCTTAATTCCTCGAGACTTCTCCCAGTCACTTTTGCTTTGCGATAGATCAAGTTCGGGCGATTGTTCGACGTTGAGCCGTCAGGTGTACCATATAGAGTTCTCCGCGAAAGCGTTGGACGTAACATAGGTAACGTAGTAATATATTCAACCTTTCTGTCGACTATGGCGAAATTAGAGGAGCCTGGTAGGAGAACGAATCCAAAAGAATTGATTTGTGTGTAGTGCAGCGTTGCCAGTAACGACGTATACGTTTGAAAAACTTTGTTCTGACAAAAAAAAAAACAACTAAAAAAGCAAGCAAGCGTGAAATTCTCAATATAATTAATTACAAAAAGATAACAAATATAGCGATCAGTGAAAACAAAATAGCAATACCTAGAAAAATGAAACAATAAGCCACTTCTCAATTCGATTTAGAGCCTTTATTAGTGGTGGTCTGGACAGAGATTGCTAGAACTGATTGGAATCTAGCCTCATAGACTTGAGGACCTTCATCCCCTCATCAATCAATGCAAATAATTCACGAATCTCTGAGACATTTTCGCTTCGCTCGACTTTTTCACTGGCCCACTTAAGCTTTCGGTCAACAGCTAACAAAGCTGCCTTGTAGCCATTCAATGAGTCCGGAACTGCCTAGAAGTAACAAGCGTCGTACACCTAGGGAAAAATGAAATTTTTTTTTGAAATCAAGGTGTTTTTTAAAAGCCATTTCTAGCCAGATGAATGCTCGTCTTCGAATGTTAACAAAGAGATTGTAAGATCCAAATCATACTTTCAGCTCTCTTTTTCAGAAACTTAGAAGTAAGAAGAAGAATAGCTTAAGATTGGGTAAAAGCAATCAATTTACTGGTAATTATGACTCACGACAGCTGAAGCAGAAACTGAAGCGCTTGGTGTTGATTCCCTCGATTTTGACGTTGATACTGGCCTGCGAGTTTGACTTTCCTCGTTAGCCCACCTTCGATCGACCTCCACTATTCTACTCTAACACCAAAACCTTCGAATATGTACAAAAATGAGCACTAATTCAATAGATTATTACATACCAAGTTTTGTCGAGGAGCAGGCGGTTCTTCTCCAGCAAGCAAGCTGTTGCCGGGAGTAACTCCATCGGCAGTAGCATCTACAGTAAAATCACAAATGACATAATTACAAATTAAGTAGTAACTAACCTAGTGGCACCTCAGCAACAAGACGAGAGCCTTCTTTAGTGCGTTCTGCGAACAGTTCGCAGGTAACGCACGTGCGTACTCCCTCCCTATCTTCCATGAGTATGCCCTGTAATTCGAAACTGATTTCCGTATTAGAATTCTACAACAATAGATACACCAAATGTCTGCATGACTACGTAGAGGGTGTTCGAACGAAGAATTACACATTATCACTTACGCTGTAAAATACTAAAGCAATGGAGCCATAGGACCACCTGTTTTGTATACTTTGAGAAAACATGATTAGGAAACAAGCGTAAG